GGGGGGGGGGGGAACGCGGAGCGCAGACGCATATATATATATATATATGTGGATAGCCGTGGATCAAAACTGGTTCTGTCCCGGGGACCCTCATTCTCTGCGACTCGCCCCTTTGTCGCGGCTTGCTGTGGCATGTTCTTGTCGCGAAGGCTTTGTACACGTATGCCCCACTAAAAAACCTTTCTCACAAATAGGTCTGTCACAAGCCGGACTACAGGCCAACGTCGCGGAAGGGCCGACCGAGCCTGTTATAAACCCCGTGTTTTCATTCGACTATAAGAGATATTAGGGATCATATTCGGGTCCTCTGATATTCCTACTATACCACTATTACAGGGAAGGGGGTCCTCCTGAATGATACATGTCAACATTGCTCCCTTCCTTCCTTCCTTTTCCCTTCTCCCTCTTTCCTTTTCCTTCCTTCCTTTTTCTTCCTTCCTTCCCGAGACAGGATTTTCCCTTCCATATCCTCTCAACAGAATATGCTGTTGTTTCTTGATCCTTCTTTCCTTACTTCCTGACATGGGATTTCCCTTTGATTTCCTCTGAAACAGAATATTTTGATTTTGGTGGTCCTTGTTTGATTTTGTGTTGATCCTGATTTGATGTTTGATCTTTATTTGATTTGTTGATTTGGGGTAAAGACCTTTCAACTCCATGCATCAAGAGTTTCCGAAAATCTGAGCTTGAGCGTCCTCCCCTCACTATACTAATAGCATGAACATTGCACGGCTGGTTTGATCTATAATGGTAACACTAATGATGGGGGACTGTGCCTTATAACCTGGCATGATCTACCGACCTAAACCCTCATCTTCCTTAACGATGCGCTCCCACAGATCCGATCTGTTCAAGCCCCGGAACATGTGTCCAATGCGGCAGCATTGAGGTCGGCAGAAGTGACAAACTAGCTGTAAGCCGGTGGGGTTCAGTCAAACTGAGCAGTACCAGGAGGTCTGTCCAAGCAGCGAACTATCGGATAGCTCGGATGGTCGAAAGCATCGACAATCCTCAGGATGCTGTGCGGCAGAAGAGCAAAAACAAGCAAAATTGATAAATCAGCACTGCGAGAGCAAGGAGAACAAACCTAGACAATGTTGTGGCTGGCAACTGCTAGCTTAATTGCATCAAATGAGATACAGTCTACTACTCATGCCCTGAATCGAACAGGACTTGAATCAGACAAACTTTGCGCATTTCTGCTCAACCGCCTTTCAATTATTAGCAGTTACTGGCCGAGTTTGCGAATCAATGCTCCAGCCTAACGGCCCAAATCATCCAAACTAGGTTGCTGCACCTTGGGAGAAGCTGGCTGATGGGCCCTTAGCCATGCGGTTGAGAAGCACGAGGCGTGCAGCTTTGCCCTCTGCGAGCTTCTTTGCTTCTTCCTGGGTAGGGAATGACATTCCTCAAAGTTGAACTTTGGGGGTGTAGAGGGGACAGTAACTGGATGTCATCTGTCACCTCCCTCTAGGACACGACAAAGCTAGCGCTCCGCGCGACTCATGAAAGGGTGACATGATTCAGGCGTTTGGTGGCAGTATTCTGCTCCACGTGCTGTTTTATGGTCTGCGTCTTGCGTGCTGTTGCAGCCGCCTTTGCTAGTGATCACTTCCCCCTGGCAATATTGAATATGCCAACATGCCCTACTACTGTAAAATGTCCCCCCATGGGATACCCAACTTTTCCAATGGGGCCTGCTTGTAATCATTCTTAGTAGTCATACTACTACGACTTCTCCTCCTCTTACTCTCTCTCCACCACTACTACTACTACTACTACTACTACCACTATTCCTAGTACTATTCCTAGTACTACTAATACAACAACAACAACAACAACTACTACTACTACTACTAAATCTACTACTACATTGCTCTTGATACTTCTTCTACTTTGATCTTTCATTACTTTTGCAGTTTCCTATTTGATGGTTACTGTCCATTACGATTATAATTGTGCCAAGTACTAGCACTGTTGCAGCTACGATTGTGCACACGCAACATCCTGCATGACATCATGAAATAATGTTCTCATTATTCAAGACGCCTGGGGTACTTAAGGTCATGCAGGATCTTCGTGGCTCATTCTGACTCATAACAACTACCTGACAGGCTCCAAGTAGTCCACTCATGATCCCTATGCCCTAAGCCCCGTAACCCCGAGCACTCTTGGGTCTACAGCGGTCCCCGCTGTCTCGGCATTACCTTTTGGCATTTGTGGGTCTATTTGGGGCACCCCTTTGACACCCTACATAAGCTCTGAACAAGCCTACGGAAACAGCGATTTGCCGCTGGCTTTTGAAGCACGAGAGTGGAGGAACCTCTATAAAGCCTCCACGCCGCTCACGCTATCCTGCTGGCTTAAGGCCCCACCATCCAAAAGATCCAACCAGGATTTAGGGTTTAGGGAGTTTCTGAAAGTAGGGGTCCCCTTGAAATCCCCCCAGCACACTTGTGGAGGATGGGGTGATTTCAGGACGTTTTGCAAGTCTATGGGGATCGTTGTGAGAAACGGCGACATACCTACCTTCAGAATCTTGGATCTTCCTTGTGGGGGCGGACGCAAAATAAAGAAAGGGCCCATACATGGGGATGAGGATTATAGTCTGTAACACTTTGGGAAGACGAAGGGGTCCCTAAGCTTCGGAAACTCCAATGCAGTGATGTGATGGGAGCAATTCCTAAGCCTAAGCAATGCCAACGCTGAAAACTAGAATCTGAGCCCCAGAATCTGAACCCCGGGTTTAGGATTCGGGGGTTACATAGGGGGGTAATTAGGGTTCTATAGGGGTTATATGGAGATAGTGGAAACTAAAATGGAAACTACTATTTAGGGTTTAGGGTATACAGTTGAACGCTAAAGCCTAAAACCAGAGCCCAGCTTCGATAGAACTCTTGTCGAGGTGATTTTTGCCTCGGTGAGCAGGCCGATGTGTAGCAACCTATGGACTACAAAGGGATTACACAGGGATTATATGGGGTCCTGTAGGGATTCTATAAGGTTTGGGGGTAGGATGTGTAGCAACTTATGGACCACAATTTCATAAGCAAACCCAAGAATGGAAAATCAAATGGGAAAGAAAAGAGCATGCACCTTCAATGGAAGCTGGGTGTACAAACAGATATATAAGGTCTAGGCTTAGTGGGATATATAAGGGCGACAGAATTTTGGCCCATCCCCTCATGATGCTGGGAGCTTTGACAGAAGTGGAAAACAGAGAGAGAATGGGGCTTCTCCTCTCCCTGCTGAGGCCACAAACATTGGGGTGCCCTGGCTGGAGGCACAAGATGGCCCCATTTTGGAACTCGAGCAGGGGCAGTAGGAGGTTCAGGTATAAAACAAATCTACTTTCAAGGAAACCTCCATGTAGTAATTATCATGCGGGTACCCTGAAAGGAAGCCCATATAGATCTCATCCTTGATACTACGTTCCAATAAGGAGCTCTAAATTGGAGAATGTTCTTAGCTACTCTAAACCCTAAACCCTAAATAGTAGCTTCTATTTTCTTTTCCAGTATCCCTATGTAACCCCTATATATACTATTACAATCCCTGTATAATCCCTGTAGCTTCCATTTCATTTTCCATTATCCCTATGTAACCCCTAGGTATCTCGAGGCTGAGACTAGAGCATAGCACTATCGCGGCCGCGATGTTCAGCTCTTCCAGTTCCTGCCCCGCACCCCTGGGAGGATCGTGAAAACAGATCCCCCTGCCCTCCCCCAAAACTAACATGGAAAGGGACACCCTAATCAGACTACTGCCCATAACGAGGCCGATATTGATTTCCATGCTCGTTGTTTCGGGAGGGTCCAGCCCCTGCAGTGTTCCTACAAAAAGTCAAAGCAACGTAGTGTACTGTTTTGGGGCCTTACTTTCTAGATCCTGCAACAGGTTTGGGAAAGTTGCGCCCACCAAGGACCACCTGTTCGAGGCCATGCCTGTTCCCGATGAATATCAGTGGTGCCGCAGCTTCTCAAAACATATCCTGTAGAAACTTTATGTTCCCCTGTGATCGCCATACATCCCGGTTGCTCAGATTCAATAACCGGACTACCAAGAGATGTATGCGAATCTTACTTGGCCTTATAGTGTGGAGTTGCGGCAGCAAGTAGCGTTCTGATCAACTACCCCGTAAACCAGAAACTTCAACTAAACTCTACTGCGGCCTAAAAGGGATCCTATCGCCTCCAACTCACCGTGCTCACACAGTCTAGGATAATAGTAGAGACCATTACGTTGAGTGTTCTACTTCATAGAACCTCCCAGAGGTCTGTATCTCCGAGACGAGCCGGCCGAACAAATCCAGAAGTGCGCAGATGCGAAGGTCTTGGCACTTTACGGTGCAAAACTGCAAAAAAGCCCAAGTTCTGAGGGAGTGGATAGGAACCCTGATCTTGAGACATCCTCCTGTTGCATAGCCACAAGTCCACGGTTTCCTTTGTTTAGTAAGCCCTTAATACTCACAATCACAACATGGGGCTGATCCCTGCATAGTCTGCTTTGTGATCCTGAGCCATCCTACATCCCAGACCCCAACCCTACTTGGAGGCCCATGGAACTTAGTAACTAGATATATATCTGGGATTATTTCACCTACCTATACTTAGGGTGCTCCCTATAAGCCCATTTAGGAGGACTATACGTGGGGTTATAAGCCCAGTTATAAGTAGTTACTAAGTCCCATGGGCCTCCAAGTCGACCCTAAACCACAGCTTTGAAGAGCCGTGAGTTCCGTCCAAGCTTCTCCCTGCAGCCATCGCCAGGTGTCGCTCATGGCACCAATGTGTAGCCTGGGAAGAAAGACTTACACAGCGACAGCCTGGTTTGGGGTTAATATCTTGGGTTTTATATACAGAAAGGGACGCCATCCCCAAAGAATCCTGTAAAACATCTGAAAACGCACAAAAAAACATTGCAAAAATGGGGGCCCCACAGCGTCCCACCCTCCAGAAATAGAGATTATTATAGGGATAATGGAAAAGAACATGGAAAATACTATATCGTATATTGGGGTTATATTGGCGTTATACTGCTGTGCATATTGGGCAGCACGAGTTGATCTGCACACCTCAAAACGAGGGCAGTGCCTCAAAGCAGCACATCAGGGTGCATGGAAGGGGTTGTCCAATGCAAACATGCTAGTCTTGGGGCCTAAAGAACTAGAATAGAATTTCGCGATATGCTTGAAGTGCGGTAAGCCACCTTGACAAAGCAGAAGGAGCTGTCATTAGTATTTCTTCAATCTCCCAACTTGTCCAGCTTAGAAAAATCCGAGCGTTCGAATGATTGGCAATCATGTCATGTGTTACTGGCTTTCTTACGACACTTACGAGTATGCTAAGATGGCAAAAGCTCCTGAGTATCATTGCTGTCTTTGTCCACCAGTGTCATGATGCGCGTGCAGAGCGGGGGTGATGCTGTCAGATGTCCAGTGGCAGATTTTTCTACTGCCGAGTAGTTCGTATGCATGATGTTGCACTGCCAGGTTCTCAAGGCAAGTGAAACCACAAGAACCTGGTCTGAAAAAAACTAAGGGAGAACATGGGAGCCCCATATGGCTTTCTAGGCACAGTTCATGGAATTTAGACGGCCTGTCCGAAAGAACCCTCCGAGGCCGAGGGGCCACGGAAGCAAGGCAGCTGGTTGTTGTACCGTAACCTGCCGCACAGGCCACTCAGGGTTTAGGGTTTGAGGGTCTTTTGCTTTGGGGTTTGATTAGGGGCTTTGAGTTGGGGCGTTGGGGGTTTGAGGTAATTACAGTCCCCCAGGCACAAGGTTTGCCTGAACGCTCCACGTGAAACGAACGATGCTCCAAACCAACATGATTGTCCGATTTGTTACTGCAGCATTCTTATCACTGAAGCCAAGCATCTGTAAAGTTGCAGTGGAACAGGGTGGTGCGTGCTTTGGTATGACTTCTTCTGCTTTTGCTTAGACAAACGCTCCAGGCCTACATACTTCGACTAGGGTCCGGGGCATGTCATAGTTGCACCAAGTAAGATGACAATGGTACTAGTAGTAATAATAGCGCTGGTAGTAATAATAGTGCTAGTAGTAATAATAACAGAAAATCATAGTAATGGTAGCAATAAATAATACTAAAACAAAAGTAATCGTAGCAAAAGTGGGGATGAGGTAGCTAGCGCTTCAGCTGGCTTCGTTGTGCAAGCAAGCAGTTGGCACCTCGTGCTCCTTGCTCCAATGCACGTCAAAGGTAAAGTTGGACAGTACCTGCTAGAGCTTCATGATTAATCCTACTCCGAGGCTCCGAGGTACTTCACTGCATTGTGGGTTTGGGGTTGAATACGGAGAGTAGGCTTTTGACTAGCTTTGAGAAGTGAAGGGAGGCACGCAGAGGATCAGACAGCTGTCCCAATACCTTTTTAGCATCTGGCCACTCGAAAGAAAAAAAAATCCTGTGATGAATCTGTCGCGAACTTGATGGGCTTCCAAACGGCACCAGCTGCGCTTTAGTGACCGAGACTTGGGCTCTGCGCAAACAAGTTCCGTTCGGGTCTGCGGGCAGTCTGCGGGCAATGGAGAAGCCTGTCTCCGCTTCACAAGATCTTGATTGCTAAGTGGATTGGATGTCCTTAAGTACTACCAGACCTGGAGACCCTCTCAGCCTGGTCCATCCGCCGGAGGTAAGCCCGGCTTGCATCGTCTAAGTCGAAGCCTTACGGTTCATCTCTCTTGCAAAGCTGATGTGCTGAGATGCGCAAACTGCCGAGACATTGCTTAGGCTCACAGGCAATGAAGGGACCGCACCCACGCACCTCCAAGCATGAAACCCCGCGCACAGGCTTGGAGCAGAAGCAGGCTCACCCTGCAAATAGGTCCTAGAAGTAGTACCTGAAGATGAGTGCAACATGCGCGAAGAGATGCTGAGATGGGAATTTTGCAGAATGTAAGCTTCCGGACATGCCTCCGAGTTGTTTAGGATCCTACCTTTGGCTTTTCAGAAGCCTCAAATTATATGCTGGAGTCCTGAGCACGTCGAGGAGCAGGTACGACAGCGCCACCTCGCCGCACGAGCACTAGTTTGGATTTCTCAAAACAGCGCGTCCCCCTTCGAGAGCATCGTAATAGTTTGGGTGCACAGGGGGACCCGGATTTTGAGTGGTAACCATTCATTTCTTGAGTGTGCGCCACTCTTGCGGCCAATGTGTACAAGGAGCAATCGGGCAAAGCCACATAAGGGAAGCCCAGATCTTCTTGCCAGGACCAACATGGGATGAAACGTACTATTTGCAATGGGATTTGGGATTGCCCGGAGCGATATGAGATTCAAGCATTTCTCGGGGGAAGACGAAGGTTCCTGTCAAGGATATACGGGCTGCAGGGTGACATTCCATGAAGAGACCAGCTAAGCTGCTGACATGAAAAAATGTTGCTGCATTTAGTCTATAAACTCCTTAAAGGGGGCCTAGTAGGGGATTGGATAGGGGACCATTATATGGGTTACGCAGGGGGACACTAGTAGGAGTTTAGACTATAGCTCGCATGAGCGCTGCCGGCTGTACGGAAGCCCACTTTTCCCGGGGCCGTCTACATATCTATACCCCTTCAAACCACCCAAAAGCTGGCCCCTAACTACCTTAGAGAACCTCGTATATGGATTGGGGATGACATGACAATGTCCCGACACCTATAACCTGGTTGCCAACAAGCAGCTTGCTGTCATCCACTCGGACCATGTGTCCACGAGCTTCAAAGCCGCGACAGTCGATGCATTTCGACCGTGCGCACTGCTTGCAGTAGGTCTCGACCCCTCAGATGATCATACACACAGTTGCACGTTGTTGCACGTGCGGACATGCATCTTCAGCAGCATTCATGCGCCGCCAGTGACCCCTTAAAGCAGAGAACAATGAAAAGATCCAAGGCGCACGACCAGACCTCGAGATCCTCTGTACCGCCGCACTGCAAGCAGCCAACCTCATAAACGCGCAGGAGGGCTCCAAAATCACCTTCGGCTAGGAACTATGCTGGAGGGTATACTCACATTCATGCAGGAAACTACAAGACCATTGAACCCAATTTCCCTATGTAACCCCATGCCTTTTAGGATATCAAAAGATTGGCAAAAAGGTGGAGGGCTGGGCTGCAGGCTTCGAACTGAGAGTTCAGGGTTTAGCGTCGCAAGTCGAAGGTTTGGCATTCAGCGCTGATCATTATTTGCAATTGTATTAAAATCTTATGGCCAGCAAGGTCCCCCAAAGTTCAGGGCGACCTAAGGGGTCTCTGGAAAGGCAGCGAAGTGCATATTACCTCAACTCTCAATATTCCCCCCTACCGTCTTGAAATTTGCCCAGCAACACTCCGATCGGATTCCTTGGTCGTTCGGTTGCCGGGAAAAGCTGCCAGAAAGATTCAAGACTTGTGCTGCAGGCGAAATCAATACGTCTCCCTGCGCCTCATACAGCCCTGTTGAATAGTTGAGAGTTCTCCGAAAACCTGGACATGATTTCGCGCAGGCCTTCAATGCAATCCCTGGCATCTGATTGTGTCAACATGCGGCTTCACACCTTACATGCGAACTAACTGGCGCTTCTTCTCCGTTAGAACCAACACACACGCAGCTGAATGATCGTCGGCAAATAAAATGCGTTAGTGATGTGAAACAGAGTCATAGCCAGCATTCACAGACCCGGATGCAGGTTTTGGAGTCACAGCTAGCCGAAAATTTGAAATGGACCGCTAAGCTACAGCACGCATATGGAAGCAATGGCTAGGTTCCAGAGATGCGGGTTCTTGTTCTGACCCCCAGACCGACAACTTGGTAACTCGTCCCCTCCATGTACCCGTCCCCCTCCCGCTGATGCCAGGTGTCGCACGCCTCACAGATCCAACGACCCGAAGCCGCATCCAGGAGTTTCATCCACCACTTCCTTACCATCCACGCAGTTTAGGGCTCAGGATCACACTCCAGTCAACTAGCTGATGTCACAGGATGATAAGGTTTGGAGACTCAGCTCCATCCTGAAGAGCGGCTTGACAGGACTGCTAGGCCGCAATGTCAGCTATGACACGCACATAGACAGCTTCTTGTTTCCACAGACTTTGAAGCCAGGCAACATCCCCATTGTCAACCTCTAGACTCTAGCAACCCCCTATCAGTAATTCATTGTCTCACCTCTTTGCAATCCAGGGTCCCCCAAAGTACCCTTCAGTTTGAAAGTAATCTTGCATACTCTTGACAAAGTGACGTACTTGGAAGCTCAGGGTATTTAGCTGGGATATCGGGGTTCTAGACAAGGCTTTTTCAGAGGTAATTGAGAGCAACTTTCATATGCGCGCGCCCTTCAAGCTCTGAGTGGAGCTGCCTAACACGTGGCCTAGTTTGCTACTATCATTTGAATGAGGCGGTTTTGCGCTACTCAGAGACGAGCGTCCAGTCTCCGCAACCATCACAAGAAGATGACCTCCGGGGCTGGACTGCATGGTGTACAGGGTGAAAGAATAGCTTGCAGTCCGGGAATGTTAGAAGCGATTAGAGGGATTCATGCCAGCGGCTGCTTGGGCACCACCAAGCCCACAATGGCTGCCACCATGTGCCAGTGGCTCACCATGGCGACTTTAGCAGTAATGAGAATGAGAGCAGCGCCATCATTACTCCTCGAAGCAATGAGAGGAATGAATGCGAGGTTGCATGTTCTGTTTCAAGTTGAACAGGGGAAGCTTCAAAGAGTCTCCCCAAACCCAAGCCCTCCGGGAGTCCCCAATGGACCCAAATAGCCCTGATAGCCTTTATGTGGGTCCCACCTGTCGCTGGTAGGAGTTGTGGATTGCATATCTTCAGAAGTTACCCTACAGGAAGATGAATCCTGTAGATCCTGAATCCCCAAGCTTTATTTCGGAAGCTTCTGCTTCTGCCTCATTTCCTGATGGCATCTTTGGACTAGGGGGCAAGGAAGGCCTTACAACTCGTAGCGCTGAACGAAAAACCCTGACATAAAGAACAGTCATCACCTATCTACTTGCATCTGCGGTGCATGCACTGGTCGCAGTACCAGCCTTAAATGCAATTCTTCGTCAGGCAGCTATGTGGAGAACTCATGGGACTTCCCGAACATGAATGGACGCTGGAAAATGTGCAGGTACGAGACTTCCTGTAAAGGCAGACAGAAATAGGAGGCCTGATCAAAACTGCCCCATCTACTCAAACAACTGCATTGATGAGGCTTCCCCCCTCTTGCAGCATTAGACTCCGAACCCCTGGCAGTCGGGAACCTCCAAAAGGACCCAATCTCCCGACCACCTCTCATAGCTCCGATCTGTTCTGAAGTTTGCGTCCGATACTGCCAACACCCACGAGAGTGAAAGCACCCGCAACAAGGCATGCAAACGCATTCCTCCTAAGGCTCCCAAACGCCCAAAACAAACTCCACCAGGACACTCCGCCCACACTTTTGTCTCTTTTCGCTCGGCTGGCCGCACTGGTCGCAACGCTTCCACATAGCTGCAGGAACTGCTGACATGTTTTACAAAAAGACTATACGAGGGTGTTGTGTAGGCTCAAAGAGGCTGTTGTGTAGGTGTGTGCCGTCAAAGAATTCTCAGGCTCGGGACTTTGAAAATTGTTGGGTGTCAATTGAATACTTACCTAGGTTCCCCAGTAACCCCTTAATAATCAGGGTACCCTTTTTCCTGATATTCAGCGTTAATAATGTTTTTTTCCCGATGGAGAAGCAATCCAATAAAATGGAAACCATGCGAAAGTCTGTTCACTCAGCCATGCCAGCACTTCCCAAATAACAAGGGGAAAAGGGTACTACTGGGGTACCTAGTTACAGTAAAGGATGTGCAGTTTGAAGGTGCGGCTCAGACGGGATTACAATTCAAAGTTGGTCTGGGTTATGCAAGCAAACAGCTAATCTTGCTGGCGGGACTGGAGCCCATGACGCTGGCAATCTTCTTTCTTCCACTTCCATCTTAGCAGTTCCAAAAATTGGGCCCGACTCATTACGTATCCTAAATTGGAATCGTTGTGACAGATAAGGATTCCCAAGATAGAAACCCTAAAAAAGCCAAACCCAGAACTTCTGGGGTCTCGAGCAATAACGGCCTGCCGAAAGCTCCTGCTTGGAAAGCTGTAAGTGCGGAAGCTCTATCGCGTCCAACGCAACTGTGCAAGCCAACAAAAGGCTTGCACAAATTCCAGACAAATTTTGCTTGTGGGGCGGGGCAACGACTAGGGCCCGTTTTCTAAGACAGAACATCAGTATGCC